GCGAAAGCATTCCATTTCGCCAATAGTTAAGCATATGTCTACTTAGAAGGATGGAAGGAATTTTAGGATTTTACGTAAGTACAAAATGTATTTCCATAATTTTCGCTTGCACTTATCTTTATTTCGTTAGAAAAGTGAAAAGTAAAACGAAAGGAAATACACATCTGTGTACTATATATATATATATACACATAAGGAATATTATAAAACTATATAAATTTATAACAAAAGCATGGGAACGAAAGCGATTGGTTGTCATTTTGTCAACAAATTGCAACGAAAAGTTGAAGCAGTCCGACTATTTGCACATGTTTACATACACATATACATTTGTTTAAATGTTAAGTGAGTCGGTGTGTCTGTGCTGGCAATTACAAAACATTCAAAACGTACTTATATATGCATATACATAGATACATATATATATATATATATATATATATATGTGTGTGTACGTAGGTAAACGACGTTATGCCTGAAAACATAACGTATGATTATAAGCATGGGAAAGAATTCAAAGTGAAGCCATAAGACAGAAAAAACAGACAGACAGACAGACAAACAGACAGACAGAGGGGACAGTTAGATAGACGGTTGCACATGTGAAGCTTGCTGTAGATAGCTAGCTGTTAAGAACCACACATTTACAACTGCGACACTGCGGCAAACACTCCAACAACTTACAAAAATTTTACAATAACCCAAACTATTGGAGGAGTGTAAAAGAATGATAAGAAAAAGCAAAAACAACATTAACAATAATATATATATATATATATATATATATATATATATATATATAAACATATATGTATTGCAAATACCTGGCACAAGTGCTCCCCAATGCAGGTAGAGTATGAAAATCATAAATGCTTGCTGCTAAATACATATACATAACATATAGATATATATGGCGGTGTATGAATTTACTTGTTTTGGTCAAGCAGTCAGCCTTAGCGGCAACTTCAACACGCATCGACTAAAAAGAGTTTCAGGCTAAGACATATAGTACATGTTCATATACATACATATATATACATATATATACATATATATATATATTTATAAACATTAATAGCAACAATTACATTATTGGAGAGTAAAGTATGGTTTCTTGTTTGCTATAACATTTGTATAGCATTCGAAAGGTACAAAAATGTTATTGTATATGCAGTAAGTGAGAGTGTTTCGAAATGATTCGAGAAGAAATTTGAATACTCTTTCAGGTGACTTTTATAACTTTGGAATTTTCATTGAAGAAAAGTTGACGATAACAAAGCGAGTTATTATGAATATTTACAAGTTCTACCCGGCGGTTAAACCATATCTCCATTATAGCTCAACTACTGCAGATATAAATTAATTTTTTCCTCCTAATGTCTTAAATATTAGAATTTTAATTACTTTTCAAAATCTTCTCTCAATCTTGCACAATACAACGTTCCCGAACCACATGCAATCGAATGACGCGAATAAATGGAATCGTCTGTCCAAGGAGCAATTCAATCGCATCTTAATTATCGTTGATTTACATTAAATACATATGTATACATATACATATATATATGTATGCATATATATAATTCCATCTTCCTGCTGCTAAGATTTACGCAGAAATCTCAGCCCGTATACCATTGCATGGGCTTTTGTCCTTAAATAAGTTAACTATTAATAAATGAAAGAGCAATAAATAGAATGAATTCATTATTTGAAAGCAAAAAAAGCTAATCGCGCCTTGAAAAAATGAATCCAATCGAAAAAAGAATTATGAGAGAAGAGCATGAAATTACTTTTGTATACCAAAATTTACTATCATTTCTTGCTCGATTGCTAACCGTATGTAAAACTTAATATAACTTTGTTCAAATTGATCTCTACATTGTTATTATTATTATTATAAAAATCACTTTTATGCCAAGTTGAAAATGATCATCGTCATCGTCATCGTCGTTATCATTACTTCAACTACAGAATCATAAAACTTGGTAAAAGAAAAGCTAGCCCGTTGGGTCATTTCAGTGTATATCAGTTTATTATTATTATTATTATTGTTGTTGTTGTTGTTGTTATTGTTGTTGTTGTGTGTGTTAAAAGGCCTCTTTAAAAACAATAGGCGAGTCATGTGTCACTTAAATGTCTTGTCTTTAATGTTTAAATTCATTGCTGGCAGTTGTTTTTAAATGCTGGCTTCATGTGCTAAACAAAGGAAACTAAAAGTAAACTCTCGGCGCGTTAGATACCACCAAAAGGGCGTTGAATTCATTTTTGATTGAAGTCTCTGACAAAATCGAAACAAACGGACAACATTAACATCAACTTTGATTTAGTTAATTTGCTAATATCCAATAATTGCAAAACTTCGGGCTCGATTTGAGATCAATCAATTACATGCAACGCGGTCTGATCAAAACTAGTATCATTTATTAGTCAATATACATGGGTGTGTTAAGTTTGTGTGGATATATACAGTGCAGTGTCCAGAAGGGCCCATAAGATAAGATCCATCTCTCATTAAATCAGTCGATTCCGAAACACTTTTTGTAACCTTTTCCGAATTGATCTAAGCTTGTCTGTCCTTCTTTCTTTCGGCTAATTTTCTCATATTCAACCTAAAGGCGGCAATTTTTGAGATAATGTAATAAAATTTATTACACAGACATGTTATGGCCCAAGGACGAACGCAATTCAAACTGATCTGGACCGAAACACTTCTCCGAGCACTTCGTATAGAAGACTTTATTTGAAAAATATATGCTGGTGTAGGCACGTGGTCTCCCATAATCTTTTTTCCAGTCTTTTTTTAAATGCTTCTTCATTTTTCCGATATTTCTAAGATATCTCTCACTATTTTTCTTGTTTTTTAGAAGACAAACTCCCGTAATTTGAATTTCGTTAAGCTATAATAAGGGTAATGATGGCACCCATCCACAAATAAGTGAGCATTTCTCTGTCAGAGGAATATATAAACCGTTAAGATGAATATGTGGTAAAACTTTACATTATATATCTTACATAAACGTCATTAGATGATTGATCCAATCCGATTAATATGCAGCATTGACATTATCATTTTTTTTACAAAGAACGAAAGACTTGCTCTAATCTCTAAGATCCAAGATTAACGGCATTTTGTCTTTCAATTTCAGAAATTCTTGCAAAATCTCACCCATTTCTTTGACTTAAACTTTGAATTGAACTTTTTGCTTGACTTTTAACCTAGAGTTAACCTGCAGTTTCTATTCAACTTGTAAGATTATTTTACCCGACACGTGGCAAAAGCCAACACAATACTATACCAAACATGTACCGAAGCTTCAATCTCATTTTCCTTATTAGATTGTTAGATATTTTTTCTTTTTTTAAATTTTCTCCCATGATTTGATTCAAGAAAGAGGGGCTTTTATCGACAAAAAAGCGGAGAAATAGTTGAGTACACAACAAGGTTCTCCTTTTTCCTATTTTCTATTCCAAAACATTCGCATCGCGTTTATCGATTATCAAACGAAATGGCGAGACATTCGCAACTCACTTCAATAAATTTCGAAATGTTTCGAAGGTTGCCGTCAATATTTGATCTTTTAACAACTCCGTCAATGGTGATTTGTGAGGTGTTGTTCTTCAGTAATAAATTTCGATAAGTTGGCCAGATCCACGTTTATGATTTAGCTTGAAAGCAACCCTTCGAAATTAAGTAAACTATCTTTTTAAACATATCCTGTTACAGTTGTGTTGTCCTTTTATGGATCATAGTTCATCATCGTCTTTTTCCCTTTTTTTTTTTTTTTTTTTGTTAATTATAAAATGTGGCATGTCTGGGGTAATTTCAGTGATTTCGGTGATTTTGTGAAATCATTACATATGAAATTTCTGCCGCTTACTTGACGTTTCAGTCAATTTAATAATTAACTTCTTGTTCTTCTTACTCCTATTTTTTTCAAGATATTCAGCAGAGTCAACAACAGGCTTCTGTCAGCGCCTTTACCTTAACCTTAGCAACACTCAGCGATTAGTTTAGGCTATTGCTTATTGCTTGACTCTATTGATGTCAATAAACTTACGATTCCCCGGTGAACAATGATAGTACGAAGAATTTTTGAAATGAACAAAAAAGAAAGAAATGTATTCACGATCTAAAGAACAAACAACTATCTCTACTATTTCGTTTAGATAGATATGTTATCCCTTGTTTGGCGTTTTGATACAATTCCTACAGTTGCTTGCTTGAACACTTTGAACATTTGAAGAAACAAACGAATGTACAGGAACGTTGCGCTATGGATGGACCGATGAATTTCCATGACTTTAACTGAAATTACGAAAATGCCTGTAATCAGTGCCATCATTTTAACGCGAACAGACTGTCAGTTTGCGACTTTTCGTTATCCATTTTGCATATTAACACGAAGCACAATGAATTGTATATTTAATTATTTAATATTTATATGAAATTAAAATGTAATCAAAATGTATTTTAAAATGTGCTGTAAACTTACGCTACTTGTGTGAATAAGGCAAATACCTGTGCAGTGAAAAGTGCATACTTCAGTCCTCTATTGTAAACTGGGGAAATGTTTTTATTGTCACGCAGTATTCTTTCTTAAAGGTAATCTATCTATCTATAATATATTGAGTTGAAAAAAAAAAAAAGGAAGCAAAAAACAAAAGGCAATCTGAGCATATTTCAAAATCGATTGCATGAACGACAACGAATATGTATTATTTTTGCTATTACAAAGGCTCAATATTATCTAGACGATCTCATACATAATTATTACCTCTCTCTCTTTCTCTCTCTCTCTCTATCTCTCTCTCTCTCTCTCTCTCTCTCTCTCTCTCTCTCTCTCTCTCTATCTCTATCTATCTATCTATCTATCTCTCTCTATCTATCTATCTCTCTCTCTCTCTATCTATCTCTCTCTTTCGCTTTCTCCTTACCCCTTCTTAGCTTTATGCCTAACGTAACATTCTTCATTATTGGTTAATTTCAATTTCTTACTTACCTTAATAACAACAATAGCAAGAACAGCAATTGTTATAACAATTTCTTGCTTGAAATTCGGTAATCGTTTTCAATTTCATTTTTCACGATTTTACTGTTAAATCGTAAACGCCAACAACAATTTCTTTCTTTTTTTTTTGTTTTTTTTGTTTTTTTTACCGCAAGCATCATTATTAACATGATGATGGTGATAATGATGAAGTGTACACAAAAAGTGTTTCTCTTTTCTTTAACTACTTTTAGGCAATTGTTTTTGTAATTTAATGTAATTACTTTGTGACTTATGAATGTTTTCCTTGATATGAACGGCTTAGTATAAAAAAAAAAAAAAAAAAAAAAAAAAGCATGAAAGAAAGAAACAAAAGTTTTCTTTAACCAGCCTTAACAACTATAACAACTAACACCGGGGTCTTTCTTTTTTGCTCTGCTCTGCTCTGTTTCTGCGTTTCTGCTGCTCTGATTGCATTTCGTGTATGTTGCATGTTGTCTGCCAACAACATGCAACACTTTAATGCAGCATCTTGACCTTGTGTCTTGCTATAAAATAAAACAAAGTCATATTATAGTTTATGATGTTGCGTTTTTTCTTTTTCTTTTATTTTTATTTTTACTTTTTTTTTTTTTTCATAGTTTAGTTATCGCCTTTTTATTTATTTATTTTTTTTTTTTTTTCTTCTTTTAATGTATTTTTTGTTTTTAAGTTTTTATAAATTTTTTCACTACCAAATAACGCGAATTTTGCAATTTGTGTATAATAGAATCTTGTTTTTTTTTTTTTTTTTTTTTTTTTTTTTTTTTTCTTCATTTCATGCGGTTGTTCTGGTTATTACTATGTTGTTTATGTTGTACTCAAATGTTGAGTGTGAATACGGTTGAAAAAATAGTTAAAAAATATGAAACCTCATTATAATTGGATTTATAAAGAGTATTCATTTTAAGACTTGCAACTATTATTTTATAAAAATCGTTACATATTAATTACAGAGTTAGAGATTAAAACATTCTCTCTCTTATGTTTTTTTCTTTCGCCCCAACTAAACACTGTCAGAGGTTCAATACCTAAATCCAATACCAATTTGCTCTTTTCTTTCTAATTAATTACTACTCTACTGATTATGGAGGAAAATGTGGTATACGAGAACACTGCCAACAGTTTTAAAGGAAGAAAATTGCCTAGCAGTGGAAAGTAAGGTACGTAGGTAGGTTGGTAGCTTTCTTATGTCGTTCAATATGTATTGAAAATTCAGTAGCCACAGATATTGAGTCCTGCCGATGACCACCATCGAAGAAGGCGAAAATACTAGAACTGATCTTTCATTTGTAACGTCCGGAAATGCTCACGAAATGATGTTGAATGATAAAGTACCATACAGATGTTTTCGCATAACCTAAGACTTTGAATTGAGTGGGTCATATTGCTCTATCTGTCTGTCCGTCCTTCACCCTATGTCTCACCTATTGTTGACCGCAAAGATGAGGATAGAAAACTGAAATTTGGCAGAATCGTAGATTGTGTAAAAAACTTCCCGCCTAAACCCGCCTAAAATCGCGTTCACAATAACCGAAACAGCGTGCTTGTGATCCATAATAACAGGTCGTCTGAAATTAGGTGGCTACGTTTACAAGGTACAAACAAATTAAGATAGTTCGCCTGCATGCATGTTCATAACAGACAAAACAGCAGACCATACGGCCTTTTAAACATATCCCTCTGAAATTCATCCGAAAGATACACAAATATCTTTTCACGGTGATGGACATCAAAGGTAAGCCCTAAAATGAGTATAAGACTTTCATTTGCTTATTATATTATTTTGTGAAAAGGCGAAAGATACTGATTGCAGTGCATATTGTGAACAGTCACGGTGGCTTGGGAATTACTGCTAGTCGGAGTGACGTCGATTTAATAGATGAGATTTAGAAACTAGTAGGTTTACGCCATTAAGATGAAAATGAAGAATAGATATTCCGCAGGATTGCGCCGGTCATCAAATTTTTTTAAAAAAGTTCAGGAATAGTTGAAGTAGTTTCCACATTATATGCACGGGGAAAAAATCAGTAGTAGTTAAAACCTCTTTTCTCAATGCGCGTTCTTTTACAAAATACATTCTCATAAAAATTTCATAATTACGATGTGTAAGATATCACTGCCAATAAGAAAAAGATGCTCGAAATTTGTTACATAAACATGATACGTAAACGCTCAATAGACATGATTCGTTGCAATTAGACGCTTGCCACCTAGAGCAGACATCCAAAATACTTATTATAATTGCTTAAGAATTCGGGGTAGTGAAGGTAGTGCCGTCGCTTTTACTGTTAGTAAAATTTCAAGTTCATTTTTAACGTCCACGGCTTCCTAATATGCTCTTAGACATTATAAATCGGATTGATAAAAGTTCGACAACTGAGACTTTCAAGCAAGTATTCACAAGCGTTATCTTTCATTCCGCCAAAATAAATCGTCAAAACTTCGTTTTGTATATCTCGCTTACACTCTTCACTGTCGCCACAGTTGAACATGACGGATGAAAAATTTTTGTATGTAAATTTCATTGCAGACTGGATAATGGATATATTCACAGTTTTTTATGCGACAAATATTTCAAGTTTTTTTTTTTTTTATTTGATTTTCATTGCGTTGCTTAAGTATAGTTGCATACGTTATTGTGTCAGGTATATGTAAAAACAAAATTTTAGTTTCTTTTTTTCAGCAGCTTAAAATTAAAAGCAACAGCAGCATTACAAAATAATCGTCAACGCCATGATATAATTGTACATCATTTTTTTTTTTTTTTTTTTTTTTTTTTTTTGTACGTTTTTCTTATGTATTCAGCTTTCAACGTATATATGTGTGCCACTAACTATACATTGAGATCTACATATGTACAGAAAGCATAATACATTCATAAATTGCATGACATACTACAACTACTTATGTGCCAAATGGATTTTATCCAATATATGCATGCCATGAATTCTGCATCATAATCGGGGAACCATATCAATCTAAATCTGTTCCGCAATCTTTTTCTTACTGATGTCGCAGACGTAAAGGAGTATAGTATGTATTGTATGAAACGAGAGTATAACTGAAAAAGGGCAGCTTCACATAATAACAACATATCGATGCATACAAATGAATACGTCCGTCTGTATGTCTTTCTGCTTGTCAGAGAGAAGAAAAGCAAAAACTTGATCGTGTTGAAGATCAAAAGTTTTTAGCATATAAATATCGAGATGATGGCACTAAAAGCTGATGATATGATGATCTTAAGCCAGATGACGACGACGACGACGATGACGATGACGATGAAGATGATAATGATGATGATGATGATGATGATGAAATTGAAAACAGTCAGTATGAGGGGAAAATGAAGAATGAAACAATGAGTAAAATTGTTTTTTGCTTTTTGTTTTTTTCTGTTTTATATTTTTTTCTTTTCTAGCTTTGAGTACATGGGCAATGCTTCTTAGCCAGGCTCTACAGTTGTATGTAAATGTTTGCTAAGTCTTAATAGTTATGATGAGGGTCGTGTTTTCTGTTGTAAACGCAGTTGTTTGACAAGCCGGAAATTATATAAAATTACTTACATATACACACGTGTATATACACACAGATAAACGCACACATAAACTCACTTAATAATATAATGCGTGTTCGCGTGAATAAATGCAATTGTGCGACAAACATGTCACTGTTGAGACGTCGTTTACCGAGCCTTTCAGTCACTACATAATAACATCAACTTGATTTCAGTCTCGTGTTGTTGCTTTCCCCCCCCTCGTTCTTTTTTTTTTTTTTTTTTTTTTGTTATTTTGCTTACGTGAAATATTTCATTATTATTCCTTGCATGTTATCCTTAACGACATATTCATATGTATCGGTGAGTGCGTGTAACTATTATGGAGTAGTATTCGCCTATTGTTTTTGCTGTTGTTGTTATTGTTTTTATTGTTTTTACTTTTGTTATTGGATCGTGTATGTATCATCATTGACAATGATTACCTTGTGTCATTTTAATTGGCGAAAAGTCGACATAAATTACAGACCTTTGGTCAATGCAATCAATGCAGGTAATGCATGTCCTTGTCTGTCGGTCTGAAATGCGTTAGGTTATCATGGGTAAAACCTATTAAGAGTTTGCCATACAAGTGATTCAATTGACAAAATGACAGTAATTAAATTTAATGGATCAAAAACATATGCAGTAGTTTTACTGCTCATAACCTATATACCGCTTCTCTCTCTAAATGGGGTAGATTTAATTTTGTTCATATGTTTGTAACATTGAAATAGTAAATGAACTAAAACGGCTTCACCATTTTGTTTTACGACATATCCAAAAGCTCCGTACAGTGAAAAGGAATAATCAACATTGAGGGAAAAGCCGGAATGACAAAGAATGGAGCTCAATACAGAGTATAGACTTGATACAAAGAGCTTGCTACTGCGAGAGTAATGACAATGTTGGCTAGCGTTGTATTTGTTGTGAAAATACATATCATATAGTGTTGCGAAGATCGAATTGAATTATTTAGCCAGAACCTTAACGTTCCCGTCTCTACAAGGTTTACACGGACTGCAGCTTTTCGATGAGAAATAGAGAAAACGATGCAAGAGGCTTCTGAGATTCTATGGACAGTGATTGACACGTTCACTTTCATAAAACGCGATGAAGACTGAAAGCAACAAATACACATCAGCGTCATGACCGCAACGATACTGACAGATCTGTATCTAGCGTTACATAAAACCAATACGAAATAATATATATATCGATAAGAGTAGTAGTAGTAGTAGTAGTAGTAGTAGGTGCTGTGAAAAGTTGGAAGACCAAACTTTATGTAACTTTCAGACCAAATAAAAACACGAATATTGAACACGAAATATTGAGACGAAATAAGTGAAGGAACAAGAACTAAACATATCCACCATCTTATGCTTCTACTTTGCACAGACATGTTACAATTTCGATGATCCTCATAAACGCGCAATTGAAGCATGAAGGACAAATCGATTCATTTCATGTTCGAGGTGGGTGACCCTTTAATCCAAAAACTCTTGTAGACTTTAATGCTTCTTTCAATAAATTTGTTTAAAGGGAGCAATTCAGCTAAGATATCATTTAAGAAGGTAGGGCGCGAGGTCTACAGAAAAAGCGAAACAATTTATTTACCCATTTCAATGATGTCACTGATCGAAAGACATAACTTTACTTAACGTAATAGGATAAAAGTAAATCGGTTAAAACTTTACTCATGTTGTGCCTCAAGTAATTGTCAAGTAATTTTGTTGCTCTCAGACATTCTTGTAATTGTTATTAT